GCATGTGGTTCTACACAGATGGTTTGGGGCTTTCTTCACTGCAAAACAGATGGGCCTGCACTGTCCCTTACCAATCAAAAGAGAACTTGAAAATATAGGGATATCTTTACCTACATTGCGTCCTTTAATTCAAGAAATTAAAATGCTCAGAAGTATAAATAACTGCCTATGGAAAATAATTTTTGAAATGGGATGTCATATGTTGAAATTATACAGTAACCTAGTTCATGTTTAATGCAAAAAATACAAAAAGTTTGGCTTGTACATGGCACTGTTTTTAACATACAACTATTAAGTTAAGAGATTTACAACTATGGAATGACTGTTATCATGTGTTCACCTTGCCTAAAAAACACTGCTGTTTTAAAACTTCAAGTATAGCTAAGCATATTTCAATTCAAAGTGATCATTCTAGGCAACATCATCCATTGAATCAAGTTAGCAAACACATATGAGTTGAGTACACTTATAAATGACATACTTTGCAACCAAAATAGAAGCTAAAACAAAGCTCAGAGTTAACCTAAATGCTTTAAGAGCTACTTTAATTAGTCATAACAGAAATTTCAAGGACTTTTGTCCACAGAATCAGAATCGTGGCCTACCTGAAAATGCTTTCGTCAAAATGTAGAAGCGTAAAACTGAGGACTATTATAAGTGCTCTCTTTGTTTTGTATATTTTAGTGAATTTTACACAGTAATGTGGCAGCACATGCTCTTTGCATCACTATGTGAGAGACAGACATCGTGGGCTCATGAGCTTAGAATATAGTGTTGCTTATAGGAGAGCTCCTGCTGCTTTTATCTTCAATCTACAAATATAGTTGTCAACCTGTGATTCTGCAACAATTTTTTTTGTTTTATAAATATGCGCTCTAACAAGAAGTAATTTTTCTGAGTGCTGTCAAAGCCACAGTCAGAATTTAGAGGTTCGTTTTCCTCTAGAACATTGTGCACAAGGGCATTTGGGCTGTTTGGTCTACCTCTGCTTACCCTGCTGGATGGTTTTCAGAGCTCTTCATACCTGTTATTTTTACTTAGCTTCCAAACAATGCATTTAAATAAGGTACAGCCTTTCCAGGAAGGGAAAAGTGATGAATTATTTAATATTGAATCAGAAAAATAATATCTATCCAGATCTATATATGCATGCATATATTCATATATTGATTTACATATAATTACAATTATACATATGTAACAGCATATAGCTATATATAAAACTCCATGTATCTATGTCTATAGGATATATCTCCATCTCTGTCTCCATTCCTTGCATGTATTTTACCAGTGAACACAGAAAGATTTCTGCTCTACATATAAGCGATGTATCTTAAATTGGTTTCTCTTGTAATGTTCAGATTTTGAAAAGCAATTAAGGATTTTGTTTTCTGTCTGTGTAATGCAAAATAGCAACTTTGGTGGTATGTTTTCAATGACATGAAAACCAATGTCTTTCATAGATCTATGATGAAAGGTTTTGCCAGGCTAGTAAATGCAAATAAAATTATAAAATAAGTATATTCAATAAATAAACAGCTCTCAAGCACTTCTAAATACTTTGGCAGCATCAACATAAACAATTGATATGATAATTACAGCTAATTTTTATCCATTTTTAAAACAAGATTCTAAAGATGTATTCTAGTCTAAACTATGTAAAATTATTGTATAATAATAGCCTCACTTTAAGAAGTGTCCCATTAACTTTCTATTGTGTATACATATTTAACATATAGATATGTACATTTTTCTGGAATAGCTTTTCAATGAAATGCGAATTATGAAGTTCTCTGACTTAACATTCAATACATGTTAATTACACTAGAGAATTAAGGAGCATAATTTAAGCTTTGTTCCATAAGTCAACAGAAGTTTTCATCACATTTATGAAAGCTATGCAAATTGTTGAGAATATTTTGATTGTTCAGGTGACCCAATAAAGGCCAAGGTAAAAAGCCTAAAGAACTAGGTAAGCAATTTATGAATCATTCCTGGTTTCCATGTATTGTACAGAAGATGCATCAATATAATTCCTTGGCTTTGGAAAATTTAAGTTGTGTCACCACCAATGATGGCTTCCTAATAAGTGACTCTTTCGTGGCTATCTAGGAACAGGTCTAGCCAAACACAAAGCCAAACAAATGTACTGAGTTCTTGGTAAATTATAAGGTTTCAGAGCTTCTCTCCCCCCCCCTCAAAATATTCTCATAACTGTGTAGCCTAGGTCCAGTTTTGTTAGGCTGTATTGACATGAACAGAAGCTTAAATTCTTTCATTTGCCTTTTGTCAATACTAAGATTATAAACAAGTTTTTCTTTGCAAAAAGAAACTTATTGTACCTGGGAGTGAAAGGTACAATTTTCCTCATTTCATCTTTTGACAGCTTTTAAATATGTGGGACAATTCAGAGAATGAATTACTGATATTTGTCCTGATTTGCAGATTGTGTTTTGTTTTCATTATCTGGAGTCCCTCCCTTCATCAGAGTGAGTATGCCTCACTGATAGCAGGCTTGGTGAGAGGACTTTCTTGTCCAATGATCTGTAAGCCAAAGTGATTTACATCACACTTAAGCTGAAGCTCTAAGAAGTACAGTGTGTTTCTGCATTACTTTTTTCTCCATGTAACAGGTAGGAGTACAGTAATTCTTCCTTAATCCTGGAATGAAAGGTATATGGAGTAGAGTAACAGCTGCCTCCAGTTAATGTGTAATATGATGAAGAAATACAACTGTTATTGTAGACCCCTCAGATTTAGGTTCTGCAAAACCTAGAACTGGTTAATACAAAAAATAGGAATTAATTTTTCAAAATATATTATACCATTTAAATTATTTTTCTTGCAGTGCTAGGAATTGAACCTTGGGTCTGGTTCACACCAAATGAGTGCTCTACAAATAAGTGTTCATACACAGAACTTTTTATTTTACTTGAAATGGGGCTTCACTAAGCTTCCCAGACTGATCTTAAACTTTCAATCCTCCCACCTCAGCCATTGGAGTAGCTGAAATTATAGGCACGCACCACTATGGCTGACTTCATTTCAATTTTGGAAAGAAACTGCGTGAAAGGTGGGGGAAATATGGACAATTGAAAATTATTAACAAGGGGAGCAAGCTTCCATCCTTGCTACCAAGTTGCTGATAATTTAATGGCAGAGAAAGTATGTAAGTAGTTTCCTGTCTATCTGGAACTATGAGAAAGGGGAGTTGGAGGATCATGTAAAACTTGGTGCAGGAGATGTGTGTAAAGAGGGAACTGTATACACACATGTGACTAATATTGGATGGAAAGAGGAGAAGTGAAAAGAGATCATTAAATTTTCCCAACTGATCTGACAGTTTAAATTGAGTTATCTGAATTTAGGTGTTTTCTTTATGACTGGAAACATACAGTTTTACTTAGTGTTTCTCAAATTATATACACATTCCTCATGTCCTTTAATTTATTATTTTAGTTAAGATTCTTTTTTATTTTAAAATATCCTTTTAAAATTCTTTTTATCTTAAGATATACATGTTAAATATATATCATTTAGAAACTGTCACCAAGGTTCTGTTTCTTCTCTAGCATGGAAAATAAAACAAAATTTTTAAAATTATTACTCAGAATTATCTTTAAACATACTGGTCATTTTTGGAATATACACTTTTATATAAAATATATTCATATTATAAAAGAAAGATCATACAATGATACTATTTTATGACTTGACTTATATTCTATAACAATTTTTGTAGCATTAAATATTAGTTATTGACAAATGTTGGCAGGGTTTTGGGGAGAAAGGAACCCTTCTCCATTGTTGGTGGGAATGCAGACTGGTGCTACCACAATGGAAATCAATATGGAGATACCTCAAAGAGCTGGGACTAGAGGTTCCATTTGACCCAGCCATCCCTCTGCTGGGTATCTTTCCAAAAAAATTAAAAGAATCATATCACAATGGTATATGCTCACCCATGTTTATAGTGGCACAGTTTTTAATAGCTAAAATTGGAAACAGCCCATTTGCCCATCAGTTGCAGACTGAATAAAGAAGATGTGGTTTTTCTATAAAATGGAATATTACTCAGCCATAAAGATTGAGGAATTAATTCTTTCATAGGGAAATGGATACATATTGAGGATATACTTCTAAGTGAAATATATGTCACACATGTGTAAATACAGAATAATAGTTTCTCTGGTGTGAAAAACTATAATAGTACATAAGATCCTACTGATATATATGACAATGTGAAATAGAAAGAAAGGGGCTAAAGGTGTGGGGAAAGGGTGAGGGTTAGGGGAAAGGTAATAAGGGAAAAGAAAAAATATGAGAAAATGAAAAAATGGAAATAAAGTGTTTGTAAGTGGAGAGGGTATGAGGGGGTGAAGGGAGGGCAGGGAAAAGGAGAAAAAATGAGAACCAAGACCTATTATGTAAAGGTGCAAGATCCCAATGATGAATATAACTGTACTGTATACCTAAAATGTACCAATAAACTCAATGAGAGGAAAAAATAGAAAATTAGTTATTGAGCCAGGCATGAGGGTGTATACCTGTATTCTCAGCACTCTGGAGGCTGAGACAGAAGGACTGACACAAATTCAAGACCAGCTTGAATAATATAGCAAGACACTGTTTCAACAAGACGAGAAAGATTAGAAATGAATTAGTTATTTTGCATTGCTGTGTAGAGTCCTATTTACACAAGTGTAATGCATTTAACACACTGCCTATCAGTAGATATTTCGTTTATTTTGATTTTTTCTATTATAAGCAATGCAATATATATCAATCATTATAGATATAGCTTTGTAAATATTTAAGGTGTTTCAAATATACCAGTTATCAGCAGCATATGGTAATTTCTGTTTTTGTCAATTCTATTTTGGTGCTTTTCAACTAATTCTCATCATTAGTTATCTTTTATCAAGCCAAAGTCCCTAAAGTATGAATAGTGGACTTCCTATCATAATGAGAAATATATTTGCCCATCAATTTTTCTCTTCACTCTTAAAAACTGCTTGACTGCCTTGTACATCTTTCCCTAGTAATCTAATAGCTGATGCTATCAAAGAGGGATAATCTCAACAAAGCACCGCTCCGTCATCTTGTGGGTGAATATACTCATCCTTGCTGTACATTGCTGTACAGTACCATTATTTCCCAAACAGACTGATTCTGTCTCTGTGGAGTCCATCAGTGTGAGAGGATTATTTATCTCCATTCAGCTGTATTCAAGAGTGGCCATGTTGCCCGGCATGGTGACACATACCTGTAATTCTGACCTTGAGAGGCCAGCCTGAATTATATAAGGGGACCCATCTCAAAAACAAAGAATGGCCATATAATCTCTATGCAGAAGTTTACAAGCCATCATATAATAGTATATTTTATTCCTTTGTTCTGCAACTGGGTCTTGCAAGGTGTCTGTCTTGTCAGTCTGGCTCCTGAAATGCACATTTGGAATATAATCACAACTGCCATGCACAGAAAGTATGAGTAAGAAATAACTTTCTGCTGTTGTAAGGCACTGATATATGGATTCACTTGTTGTAGCACATTGCTTATCCTCTCCTGGCTAATGAATGTAAGAATAGCTATGTATCCACAAAACAAAGGACATGATGAGAAGGAGTATGGAGCAGTGGATGAAACCAGTCTCCCCAACCTGACAACTTGCTTTGACTTCTTCTGTAACAGGCAGTCTTGAGACCATTGTATAACTCTCTAAATTTCCTTACCTTCATGGTAAAATACACTTAATAACACCCTCTGTCAAATAGTATTAAAACTGAATGAGCTATCAAATGTAGTATATCTGATGATAGTTAGACAATTTTCAATAGATCTCAAGTATTATTTTTAAAAGTAATATTAGAACCAGTAATTTTAAACAGTGGTAGTAGCAATCAGGAACTTGGGTGTTTTATAAAAGATATATGAGTTCAAACCTCAATTTGACCCTGCATCATTTGTGTGTTTGGACCTATTACTTAAGTCTCAGTTTATCCCCTTCAAAATGAAGATAGGAATGTCTACCCATTACATCACTATAGTGATGAAATAAGTCTGTACATATATGTAAGAAGCACAGTCCCCAGTCCCTGTGAAGCACCCAATGAATGGTAGCTGTAGGATGATAAAAATCAATAGTGCCCACTATTTAAAAATCCTCTGAATTCTGGGAGAGATTCTGAGACTTCTTTTCATCTTTTCTCCTGGATATTGGAACCTTAAATCATTGCTTCCAAATATTGAAGTCCTGCTGCACTTCTAACTCAGTGTGTCAACTTTATCTAATGAACAAATTTCATGAAGCACGGCTACAGGAATCTTCAACGATCTGATAAAAAAATCAGGAAACAAAAGCTATGCTGCACTATGTAAAATATAAATTATAAAAATCTAATCATCTTAGTGAAAGTGTATTTCAAGTATACTCTGAGAGAAAAAGGTCAGACACAAAGGCTGGGGACTTAGCTCAGTGGTTCTGCTGCCTACCTCTCAAGTGCAAGGACCCGAGTTCAATCCCCTTGTACCAAAAAAAAAAAACAAAAAAACAAAAAAAAAACAGAAATGAGTCTCATAGCCTTTGTTTACCATACATACCTCTATTGACTTGGGCAAGGTCTTTTGGTGCAAGTTTCTTAGTAATGCAGTTGTTCTGTGGTGGTTCATGGCCAATGACTGAAGTAGGAGACATTGCACATTTGTTTGTCAAGTCCCTGAAATGGTAAAAAAAAAATGTTTTTTCATAACAGTTTAGCAGAATTTTCTTTTCAAAAGGAGAGCTAGGTGGAGACTATCAAGTATAAGTAACTTGTGAAAAGGATTATAAACTAAAACCTTATCTCTTATAACTCCTAAGATCTTTGAAGTTGCTTCAAGTAACCACACAGTGAACTACCATAGTGTCTTCATCAACAATGGAAATCAGATGGTTCCACCTTTCAAGCCTGTGCCCATGTTCTCACACTAGTGACTGCTGTGGTCTGAGCATGAACATAGAAAAAATAATTACTCTATCATTATTATTATTATTATTTTTTGGTACTGGGGATCGAACTCGGGTCCTTGCACTTGCCAGGCAGGCTTGGAACCGCTGAGCTAAATGCCCAGCCCCCCAAAAATAATTACTTTAAAATATTGTATTAATGTCTCCAAATCTTTCTTTCTCATTTCCAAACCATCCAATGTTTATACATTTTATCCTACATTTATGTTTTGCTTTTTCTAAAACACTACTTCAGGCATTTTCACAGAAATAATGTCCAACATCAATACAGTATATCCCCTTAAATGTTATTTGACTGGAAATTAACTAAAACGAGATGTGTGCAAAAGAGTCAAAATGTGTCTGTAACCCCAGTACTTTGGGAGGCTAAGGCAGGAGGATTGCAAGTTCGAGTCCCACCTGGGCAGCTTAGTGAGACCATTTTAAAACTAAAAGAAAAATAAGGTCAGGGATGTAGCTCAGAGTGAAGGCTCTGAGTTCCAGTTTTCTAGAACTGAAAGAATCATTGAGATATTCATGAAAGTGTAAGAAATGGAGAGAAGTTAGTTTGGTTCTTGTTTTATAATAGCATAAAACCTCAGGATTCTACTGGCATGACCTCAAAAATCAGGTTGAAAAAGAAGACAACAACAGCAATGACAACAAAACACCTAACATCTAGTGCAATACCTGAGTGTTTACAAACATTCAGATTTTTTGTATAAAAATTGCACAATTAAAAATTATCATGTCAATCATTTTTGTTAAACATCAATGCTTTTCATTTCTGTTTTGAATTAGGAATAAGTGGAAATCAGGAGAAACACTCAAATATTGCAGAACCATTGAGCAGGGAGAAACCTGAAGGCGTGATAATTTATGACAAAGCCTCTTTCAAAGGACTTAAAAATTCCCAGGCAAACAAAGCTCATTGTAACAGAACGCCTTCACATTGTGAGCTACCACAGTGGTACCTACCAGAAACAAACCAGCAAGCATTTTCTGTGGTTAGGTAAGAGCAAGTGAAGTGTGAAACAGACAAGACAAACACTGCAAAGATAGACAGGAACCAAGAAGAATGTGAGTGATGCACTGAAAAGTTCCAAAGCACAGTGATATGTATGGGCACTTGCTAAAAATACTGGAGTTGAGGTAGGGGCTGTTAATGAGTCTGGTATGAAATTAACTGGAGAAATGGTGGTGGGAGGTTTAAGTAGGGTGGGGGCCTGTGAACATCAAGTCAGAGAGTGGGTTCTGTTCTAGAGGCAGTAGGAAAGCAAAGGCAGTCTGTGAGCGGGGCTGACGCAGCAGAGCTGTGCCCAGAAGATTGATAACCTGAAAGCGATGCGAAAGGACGAAAGTGCATGCGGAAGGGTTCCCGGTTTGCAGGGGACGAAGTGCCATCAACACACAAAGGAATTTGGAGGGGAGCTGTTAGCAGAAATCGTATAGTTTCCATTTTTTTCTTTTAAGCTTTAAAATCTGTACACATGGCAAAAACATAATGCTCGACAGTAAGGGCTTTTTTCACTCTCTAAGAAAAAAACTTTTGCATGTTTTTTTAAAGAAAAATTTTCCTTGTAGTTAGTAACACTCATCAAAAGCATAAGTTGTATAATGATGTATAAAGGTCTAAAGCAAGAAACTACTGTATCCTAAAAAAGACTCACTCTCTGCCCTACAGTGTAAAAGGAAAAAACAACACAAAAATACTGTACCACGCAATTCCATAGTAATTGGGAAAGATCCATAACACCAAATTTATAAAACTGGAGAAACAACATATTATTGCAGACTATTTTTCCTTCTAAAGATGTGTTATGTCCATGTACCAATTCCCTACGAGGATATAATTATGTACTGCAAGCATGTACCAATAAAAATAAAAGTTAAAAAAGAATATCTTCCTATTTCCTTAAACATAACGTTCATTTATATTGTCCTGTTGCATACAAGGTTAAATGAAAACGCATAGTGAAATTCAAAGGAAACACCAAAATATTTTCTAGAATTGTCCTAAACATAATTTTGACACTTTAAAACCTAACAAATATGAAACTGAATTCAACAAATATGTAATATAATCTTCAACTTTTCAAAATAGCATTAAAAAAAAGACAGGAGCATTTATAACTTTTCTGATACCATCTCTTAAAACATGTTTAAATTATGAATGCCTTCTCTGGATTTCAAAGGTATAAAAATTCTAATACAATTGACATAAATGTCATTTTTTGCTATTTATAACTTGCCTACCTTGCACAAGACCCCACAAAGAAACATTTGTCAACTAATAATGCAATAAATTCAACTTGTGATTTGAAGTGTTAAAACAAAAGATTTTTTTCAATACAAGTAATACAAGAGGTTTTTCTGCTTCACTGTTTCTGTACTTTTTCTCAGTAAAGAAATCTTATCTAATCCTGTTTCATCCTTTAAAACTGCCTACACACTAATCTCAAGGGACAAATTTAATACTTTGCAACAAAGAGAATATATCCCTTTTCAGTGTGAATAGAGGAATTGTTAGGACACCAGTGAGGTATGAATAGCATTATAATGCTGCCATTTACTTGCTAAAAGAAAAAGAAAGTTTCTTGTTGCAACCCTAAAGCCGGCCTTCTTCTTTGGGTTAAATTTTTTGACCCCTGGTATATCCCCAGACACCTATGTTACTGTGCTATTTGGGTCTCCCACCTCTTGCGAAATAAACACTGAGCAAATCTAAGTAAACAGTTTGTTTTAGTTGAAGATAGAAAGACTCCCTTTAATTGAGTTTTGGTGATAGATGTGCTCCAAATGGTGCAAACAACTTTGACATGGTAAAATAATATTGTCTTATGGCATGTGTAACACTACATAAAGAATCTTAGCTTAGCACTTTCTGAGTTTACAACATTTAAGTGAGAAAATGACAAAAGAAAGCCAAACTGTCAGAAACAGAAAAACCTTTAACAATCCTAAAATACAGCCTATAATTCTCTTCTTTGCTTGTTTGATTTGGAGAATAGTCTTCACGACAGAAGAAGGGAATGAGAAAGCAGCCGAACTTTGTCCTGGGGAAACTTTGCTTTGTTGTGGTCCACTGCAAAAAGCTGAAAATGACACTCTCCTTGTACTTGAGCATTGATTACATGATGGACCTGTGGGAGAGAAGTTGAGGCAAGTCAGTGCTACAGAAAGTAAAGTCTAACTGAAACAAATCTTCCACTTCTGTTTTCTTTACTTCTACCATTTACGGATTGTATTGCATAAAAGTACAGTCTTTTAATACATGTGCACAATTCAACATCTTCTAAGTTTCTCTATAACATATACTACCCATTTGAAGTGTTCATTAGAAAACAATTTTCAAATGGCAAAATATAGGTGTTACTAGCTTTATAGGCAAACATTTAAGTTCTCTTACTTTTGCAAGATAGTTCACCCTCTGCCAACTCTGGTAAGCAACATATTTTATATAGTCTTACTAAATGTAGGTTATGCATTTATCTTACAATGTTTAAAAACAAACTGTTTGACCTATAAAGCCCATTTGATTTAATTTATAACTGTTTTCATATATGTACCACTTAAATTTTTAAAATTTTTATTTTAATGTAATACAAGTAGGTAGATAATAAAGAAAACATAAAAGTCGCCCTATAAAATAATTTTTCATAACAAAAATAATTGAAGAATAGCATGGTAAATACACTGTATATCATGAATTTAAAAGAATATATTTTCATTAGTAAAACTATTCTCAACTATTTTCTAATAATACTATACCTTTATTTGCATAAAACATTTTAATTATTAACAAAGTATCTCATATTCAGAATAATTTTGAACATTTATTTCTATCTCACAATATCTATTATACTTTTTGGTCTTTATTTGCACTTTCAGTCTCTCATATAAGAAAGACAATGTGATATTTACACGTCTGATTTTTTTACTTAAGAATACGGTTTCAAGCTGCATCTATTTACCAAGAAAGGTCTCAAGTTTATCTTTCCTTAAGGCTTAATAGATATGTAATACTTTGAACTTAAGTGACCGAGTGGCCCTTGTTAAATATGAGACATTTTCCTTGGGAAAAAATATTATGCAATTTCAAAATGATCTATAGTAGAAGATGTGGTTTTGAATAATTATACACTATCATCTGAGATTTTCTAGATGTTCTCAAAATTATAGCATCAATTTTAAAGTCAGAATATTTCTGAATCCCTGACAAGATTAGAAAAGCAAAAATGTTGATATTCCAAAGTTAGTAATAGAAGTTACAAGCTCTGCATATGCAGTTTTCACTAGGAACTTACTACATTTTACTTATATGTGGAAGTTCTCCCTCATATTTTTGGTTTTATTCACTTAAACATTTTCACCCTTTCTCCTATAAAATCCCAAGCCTTTCAGACAAAGACAAAATATATAAAGAACTAATAAGTTTATGGAATAATGTTTACAATCATTAGTTATCAAAGAATGAGAAACTAAAACTTTAAAGCTCCAGAATTACTAGAATTACAAATGATTGAAAATGTAAACCGCTGGAAAGGATGCAGAATAAATGGTACTCTTATAAACTCTTCATGGGAAAACAAAATGATACAACCACGTTGCAACAATTTGGCTTTTTTTTTATAATGTCAAAATACACGTAACTTGTGATCCAGTAGTCTTAGAAAAAGAAAAAGATAAGTTCACAAAAAGACTTGCTCAAGAACAATAAACTCAAATAGTCACCAGCAGATGAATAGATAACCGAGAGTTAACATAGTCATGCAATGTAATACGGGAAATCCTAGACTTAGTCATGGTTCCCCAACAATTTGTCAGCCTTACCATAGTGTGAAAGTGATACTCATTTTGTAGGAAGCAGACTTCAGAGTTTGGGTTTTGACTGTTTTCCAGGCCAACACTATGGAATAGGATGCTCTGTGCTGATTCTGGTCAGCGGAAATAAGCTGCAGTTCTGGTCATCCACACAGCCTCGAGAGGAAACAGCCCATGCTCAACCCTATGCTCTATTGCTAAGTTGTGATGTTCAGTAGGGGAGGTAGCTAAAGTGAATTTTGTCTTTCAGTAACTCAACTGTCAGCAGGAAATCCTCTCCAACTCAAGAAGCATCTGTACTACTTAACACTAAAAAGCAACAAATTGCTGATCCATGCCACAAGTTGTTAAATCTCAGGAATATTATGTTGAATGAAAGAAGGTAGGCAGAAAACACTGTGTATTTCTGTTCATGTAAAACTGTAGAGAAACAAACATAATCTGTGTTGACACAAATTAGAACAGTGGTTTCCTTGGGAGATGGATTTGAAGGAGGCATGAAGGAACTGTGGGGTGATAAGATTGCTGTATTTTAGATGAGGCTGTGATTACAAGAATATATTATTTTACTATTGTAGCTATTTTAAGTGCATTTTCAAAATGTACATATTTTCACTTCCTCATTGAATTTCTGATAAAGCATGGCTTTGACAAGTCAAGCTTCTTGGGTGAATTTCTTCCATTTGTACCCTCCATTTCCTTACCTTCACTCAGCTTTTAGTTACTTTCTTTCACTTTCTTTTTTTTTTTTTTTTTTTTTTTTTTTTTTTTTTTTGGTGTGGGGGATCAAAGTCCAGTTCTTGCAAGTCTGGCAGTGGTGCCACTGAGCTAAATCCCTGCCTCCACCCAAATGCTGTTCCTTCTGTCAAAAATACTCCTTCTGATTCTATCTGATTCATGTCCATTTACTCTAGGTTTCATACTAAACCTCACCATCTCATAGCTCCATAGGTCAAGGGTATGCTGTAGATATGTATTTCCTTAGCACCTTCTATTTTTTTGAAATAATATTTAATATCTCTTCTTCTGTTTACTTAAATTATCTTTTTCTTACACTAAACCATATGCTCTGGGTGTGGGTATTTATTTTATTCTTTCTAGAATACTTAGAGCCAAGTGAAGTGCTTGGTGCATGATATTTGAAAAATGATGTATCTGATCAATCAATCAATAATTTTCTTACATCAAACAATCAGTTCTATCATTCTTCCTTTGATTTCTATTTTCTCTTTCATAATTCTAGCCTGAGTCCTTATCGTCTCTTATCTAGGCTTTAATAACAAATTCCCAAAAATTAATTCTGATTTTTTTCTTTTGCCTTTCTAATCTAACATTCATATTATCACAACAAACATCTTCCCAAAATGTTAGCTAATTAAATCAAGTTATGTTCTCTCTTCAATATCTTTAATTACTTATTAAATCAATTTAAAGCTTTTGACATACTTGGTCTGTTATTCCAGTTCTCTTGGCTACTTTTCTTCTCTTATTTTTATTTTTTCTTGATTGCTTCCTGAACAGAAAACCTCTTATCTGGTTCACATATCTAGTGCTTTTCCCTTCTAGCATAGCATAAGCAAGTATTTTCTCCTCCTAAAATACATATGGTCATATCTCTTTGTACTTTAAAAACTTTTATTGACCTGCTATTATCTACAAAATGAGATTTGTTCCTTATTTTGGAAAAGACCTGTAAGAAAAGACCTCTTAAAAGCATTTGTACAACTGTTCTTTATTTTTCTAGAAGGACCATTTCTTCATTCCTCACCTATAAATGCTCAAAGAAATATCACTCTTTAGGTGCTTCATAGAAGCCCTGCATTTGGTTAATTTTCTCAGGTTCTTTGTTCTACCCCATGGCTTAGTTTATGTTTCAGCAGCAGCACGTCCATGTTCTATAATGATTTTTCTCTCTTTTTGTGTTTGTTTTCTCTTGTTACGAATGTTCCTTTGGGAGGTGCAATAATGTAGTATTATTATATTTTTCTCTATAGTTAGAATAATGCCTGAGATAAAGAGATGATCAATAAATCTGAATTCACTAATGAATGATGAATCCATACCATCTCTGAATGCTGTTAGACTTTTCAGGACATGTGCGTCTGCTTCTATGGTTTACTCAGCCTGGACGGTTTTAAATCTGTGATTAGTGAAAATATACATCTCTTTTTAAATTCATTGATTTTGTTTTTAAGTTAGTTTCTTTTTATTAGTAGATGATTGTGAATCCCTTTTTTATTCATATATGTCTGTTACGTACAGTAATTATTGTCATCTTGGCATACTGGAAATACACATCTCACCCTAATAATTTTTATTTCCCCTTCCTCTCTCCATCATCCTATCTCCTCTCATACCTCAGATTCCCCAAATTCTGATTCATCTGATTTCTTTAAGTGATGTTCTTCCAACCTCTTGCATAGGAATTAATTATGCCTTTCTGTATGTTCTCCTGGTGGCTGTGACTTATTTATCTGTTATTTAAATTAATAAATATAATGCTGTAAATTGGCTACATGACTGGCAGTGGTATGCCTGGTGCTTACCGTAAAGATTGTGGCCTGGTAGCTATCAATGACAAATCCCCAGTATAATGGAGAGATGCATTTGTAAAAACATAGATACACTTCAATCTGTTAAATGTTATAATCAGGTACGAATAAAATGCTATAAGATTGGAAAGCTTGAAAGAATTAATTTGACATGATTCATAGGTAATGAGTCATAGAGTAGTTGAGATTTGAACAGGTACTTTGAAAAGGTACAGGAGTTTGACAGGCAAATGGGTAGTTGTAAAGATATTCCAAGCAGAAGAAACAACCTTTATAAATGCACAGGATCATGAAAAAGGATTCTGGCAGTCAATTCACCTTTTTTTCCCTCACAATGATCTTCTAAACTTCTTGTCCAGACACGTGACACTTTTGAACTTTAGCTAACAACTTATTAACGCTCAGTACTGTAGACTCCAGTCAACCTCTCCAACAATTGCATTTTGGATTTGGTGTAAATATTCTACAACTTTTAACTGTATTCTCAAATTCACAATTATCCATTTAACTTCACTATGCTAATTCCTGTGTTCGTTGTGACCTTACGACCTTCAACTCACATGACCTATCTTTAGGGGTCCTCATCTTCGACTGTTTTCCATAAGAAAAGCATGTTAAAAGAAAGGCTCTCTGGCTTTGGAAAAGTATAGCCAGATCACTTATAGTAAATACTACTGTGGAGACTTGAACATTGCAGTGATTTCTTTTTTTTTTTTTTGAGTTTTTTACCATAGTTAGGTGTGTCCAAGGTGGCTATGATGACAGCC